AGGGCCCCCAAAGGGAAAAAAGTTAGACCCGTCCCCCCGATGCCCCACTGAAATTTTTTTTGGGTTATCCGGGTGGGCCCAACCCCCCGGGGGGGGGGGGGGGGGGGGGGGGGGGGGGAAAAACGAACGAAATTTTTATCTTATCTTATCTTAAAGCTCTTTTTCCACAAGGCACAAATACCGCTCCCACTTGTTTTTCATCCCATATTGGCATAGAAAAAGGGAAAGTCAGCAACAGCACCGTCTCTTCCTTTGGGATGACAAACCTTTAAAACTGCATTTACAGTGTCTTCCATTGCAGGGCACTGAAAGGCTCCCGGGGACATTAACCCCAAAACTTTTAGGGGGTTTTGCGAAAACAATATGAAGTTCAATGATGGGGAAAAATTTTAAAATTTCCGATATGGTAAACATGAGGAAAATTTTTTTCATAGGGGTACCCCCCCCAAAAAATTCCCGGGCCCAAAATAGAGCGGAAAAAAACCCACGTAAAAACCTGGGGGTGATCAGGGCAGAGGTCTCACCTTCAAGGACCTAACAATTTTTTCAATTGCATTGCCAGAAAAATGACCGGGGTGGAAATTAGGGCCCTCAAAACTAGGGGGTGGCCCAAACCCCTGTTTTCACTCTTTTAGGTCGCTTGTTCTATCAAAGGGTGGGGAAAATTGTGCACATAACACCCTTTTTCAAGCAGGTGAAATTGGGCCCCACCTTGAAAAAAGTTTCAAAAGAACATTACGGCGGGCCCTAACAGAGAAAAAACCTCTTAATTATGGGAGCCTTGAAGTTTTCCCGAAAACTTTACTCCCCGGAATACAGGGGGGGGGGGTATAGATATTATATACACCGGGAAAATTTTTAGAGGGACCCAGTATGAAAATTGCCCCAAAAAATCCTCACAACGAAAGCAAAAGACTGTTTCCCAAGGCCCCCCCCATAATAAAAGGGGGGGGTTTTTTACCAAAAAGAACCCCCGGCCCGTCTTCAAGTGGGGGCTAAAAATCGGTTTCCTGACCAGCCGGCTTTTGGCTCGTACATTGGATTGCGTGCAGCCCGCAGTAACACCTGGTTTTATAGGCTTTTGGGTCCAAACCCCCAGACCTGGGGGAACAGACCGGGCCCCGGGGGGTTATGCCCCCGGGCCCCTCTCCAGGTCAACTCCTAGAATTTGAGTTTTTTTATATTTACATGTTTTGTTAGCTAAAAAATTAAAATTTAAAAAATTTTTTCTCCTTTTCCCGTCGCTACCTTTTCAAGGGGAAAGGGGAGGGGCCCGGGTTTGAGGAACACAAGAGTTAGGCCGGGGGGGGGAAAACCCTGGTAGAGGAACTACAAAGTGAGGAAAGGGGACCCCGGGAGAGGAACTACAAGGGAGGGCTAACCCGGAGAGGAACAAAATGAGGAGGTAACCCGGGGGGGAACTACAAGAGGGGAGGCAGATGGCCCATGTAGAGGAAAGACAAGACGGAAAGGGACCCTGACCCTGGTTTGGGAATCAAAAGTGAGGCAGGTGACCCTGGTAGGGAACTTTCAAGAGTGGGGGCAAGGTTTCCCGGTAGAGGAAATACAAGAGAGGGGAGGTAACCCTGGTAGAAGAACTACAAGAGTGATGAGGGGTACCCTGGGAGGGAAACCCTACAAGAGTAGGGGGAAAAGGGAACCCCGGTAGAGGAACTACGGTGAGGGAGGTTTACCCTGAAAAGGAAATACAAAGAGTGAGGGAGGAACCCTAATAAGGAAATACAAGAGTGAGGAGGTAACCCCGGGGGAGGAATTAAAAAGTGAGGCCGGGACCCGGTAGGGAACTAAAGAGGGGAGGCGGTGACCCTTTGGTTTGAGGAACAAAAGGAGTGAGGGAGGTGACCCGGGTGAGGAATACAAGAGTGAGGGAGGTAAACCCCCGGGAGAGGAACTACAAGATGGGGGAGGTTTACCCGGTAGAGGAAATACAAAAAGTGAAAGGGAGGTTTAAACCCGGAAAAGGAACTACCAAAGTGAGGCAGGGGGACCCTGGGAGAGGAACTACAAAAAGAGGCAGGTAAACCCTTTTTAGGGAACTACAAAAGGAGGGGGGTAACCCTGGTAAAAAAAAAAAAAAAAAAAAAAAAGGAACTTTCAAGAGTGAGGCCCGGGGTCCCCTGGTAGGGGGGAATACAAAAGTTTAAAGGGATGTGACCCCGGTAGAGGAACCCCACAAAGGAGGCCCGGTAACCCCCGGTTTAAGGGAAACCCCCAAGAGTGAGGCAGGTAAACCCGGTAGGGAACTGCAAAGAGAAGGCAGGGAAAACCCCGGTAGGGGGAAATAAAGAGTTTAGGGAGGTAAACCCCGTAGAGGAACTACAACAGTGAGGAAAGGGGGTCCCTGGTAGGGAAATACAGGTGAGGGAGGTAACCCGGGTTTGAAGGGGCTACCCGAGGGAGGAGGTGAACCCCGGGTAAGAAACTAAAAAGAGTGAGGCAGTAAAACCCGGGGAAGGAAAATACAAGAGTAAGGAGGTGA